GACATGCAACCTTTCATTTTTTGTCACCTACCTCTCAGTTCGAGCAACTCCAGAGACTTATGCTCCACTGACAGAGCTAACCAGGCAGACCAAAAAATTTAATAAATTCATAGTTGTCTCTGTGGCGCAATCGGTTAGCGAGTTCGGCTGTTAACTGAAAGGTTGGTGGTTCAAGCCCACCCAGGGACGATCTATGCTTTTGTCCATTGATCGAAAAGTTTTGAGTGAATTGAAATTGTAGAAAGTGATGAAAATATTATGCGCCCAAAGTGGGGCTCGAACCCACGACCCTGAGATTAAGAGTCTCATACTCTACCGACTGAGCTAGCCAGGCTGACATGCAACCCTTCAATTATTCTCACCTACCTCTCAGTTCGAGCAACTCCAGAGACTTATGCTCCACCGACTGAGCTAACCAGGCAGACCAAAATTTTAAATAAATTCATAGTTGTCTCTGTGGCGCAATCGGTTAGCGCGTTCGGCTGTTAACTGAAAGGTTGGTGGTTCAAGCCCACCCAGGGACGATCTCTGCTTTTGTCCATTGATCGAAAAGTATTGAGTGAATTGAAATTGTAGAAAGTGATGAAAATATTATGCGCCAAAAGTGGGGCTCGAAACCACGAGATTATGAGTCTCATGCTCTACCGACTGAGCTAGCCAGGCTGACATGCAACCTTTCAATTATTGTCACCAACCTCTTAGTTCGAGCAACTCCAGAGACTTATGCTCCACCGACTGAGCTAACCAGGCAGACCAAAATTTTAATGAATTCATAGTTGTCTCTGTGGCGCAAACGGTTAGCGCATTCGGCTGTTAACTGAAAGGTTAGTGGTACAAGCCCACCCAGGGACGATATATGCTTTTGTCCATTGATCGAAAAGTTTTGAGTGAATTGAAATTGTAGAAAGTGATGAAAACATTATGCGCCCAACGTGAGGCTCGAACCCACGACCCTTAGATTAAGAGTCTCATGCTCTACCGACTGAGCTAGCCAGGCTGATATGCAACCTTTCATTTATTGTCACCTACCTCTAAGTTCGAGCAACTCCAGAGATTTATGCTCCACCAACCGAGCTAACCAGGCAGACCAAAAAAATAATTAAATTCATAGTTGTCTCTGTGGCGCAATCGGTTAGCGCGTTCGGCTGTTAACTGAAAGGTTGGTGGTTCAAGCCCACCCAGGGACGATTTATGCTTTTGTCCATTGATCGAAAAGTTTTGAGTGAATTGAAATTGTTGAAAGTGATGAAAACAATATGCGCCCAAAGTGGGGCTCGATCCCACGACCCTGAGATTAAGAGTCTCATGCTCTACCGACTGAGCTAGCCAGGCTGACATGATACCTTTCAATTATTGTCACCACCGACCAGTTCGAGCAACTCCAGAGACTTATGCTCCACCGACTGAGCTAACCAGGCAGACCAAAAAATTAAATAAATTCATAGTAAGTGATGAAAACATTATGAAAACATTAAGTTTTGAATGAATTGAAATTGTAGAAAGCGCCCAACAGGGGGCTCTAACCCACGACCCTGAGATTAAGAGTCTCATGCTCTACCGACTGAGCTAGCCAGGCTGACATAATAATTAAATAAATTCATAGTTGTCTCTGTGGCGCAATCGGTTAGCGCGTTGGGCTGTTAACTGAAAGGTTGGTGGTTCAAGCCCACCCAGGGACGATCTATACTTTTGTCCATTGATCGAAAATTTTTGAGTGAATTGAAATGGTAGAAAGTGATGAAAACATTACGCGCCCAACGTGGGGCTCGAACCTACGACCCTGAGATTAAGAGTCTCATGCTCTACCGACTGATCTAGCCAGGCTGACATGCAACCTTTCATTTATTGTCACCTACCTCTCAGTTTGAGCAACTCCAGAGTCTTATGCTCCAAAGACTGAGCTAACCAGGCAGACCAAAAAATTAAATAAATTCATAGTTGTCCCTGTGGCGCAATTGGTTAGCGCGTTCGGCTGTTAACTGAAAGGTTGGTGGTTCAAGCCCACCCAGGGATGATTTATGCTTTTGTCCATTGATCGAAAAGTTTTGAGTGAATTGAAATTGTAGAAAGTGATGAAACAATATGCGCCCGACGTGGTGCTCAAACCCACGACCCTGAGAATATGAGTCTCATGCTCTACCGACTGAGCTAGCCAGGCTGACATGCAACCTTTCATTTATTGTCACCTACCTCTCAGTTCGAGCAACTCCAGAGACTTATGCTCCACCAACTGAGCTAACCAGGCAGACCAAAAAATTAAATAAATTCATAGTAAGTGATGAAAACATTATGAAAACATTAAGTTTTGAATGAATTGAAATTGTAGAAAGCGCCCAACAGGGGGCTCGAACCCACGACCCTGAGATTAAGAGTGTCATGCTCTACCGACTTAGCTAGCCAGGCTGACATAATAATTAAATAAATTCATAGTTGTCTCTGTGGCGCAATCGGTTAGCGCGTTGGGCTGTTAACTGAAAGGTTGGTGGTTCAAGCCCACCCAGGGACGATCTATACTTTTGTCCATTGATCGAAAATTTTTGAGTGAATTGAAATGGTAGAAAGTGATGAAAACATTACGCGCCCAACGTGGGGCTCGAACCTACGTCCCTGAGATTAAGAGTCTCATGCTCTACCGACTGAGCTAGCCAGGCTGACATGCAACCTTTCATTTATTGTGACCTACCTCTCAGTTCGAGCAACTCCAGAGACTTATGCTCCACCGACTGAGCTAACCAGGCAGACCAAAAAAACTAAATAAAAATTCATAGTTGTCTCTATGGCTCAATCGGTTAGCGCGTTTGGTTGTTAACTAAAAGGTTGGTGGTTCAAGCCCACCCAGGGATGATGTATGCTTTTGTCCATTGATCGAAAAGTTTTGAGTGAATTGAAATTGTGGGGCTCGATACCACAACTCAAGAGTCTCATGTTCTACCGACTGAGCTAGCCAGGATGACAAAATAAATAAATAAATTCATAGTTGTCTCTGTGGCAAATCGATTAGCGCGTTCCGCTGTTAACTGAAAGGTTGGTGGTTCAAGACCACCCTGGGACGATCTATGCTTTTGTCCATTAATCGAAAAGTTTTGAGTGAATTGAAATTGTAGAAAGTGATGAAAACATTATGTGCCCGACGTGGTGCTCAAACCCACGACCCTGAGATAAAGAGTATCATGCTCTACCGACTGAGCTAGCCAGGCTGACATACAACAATTCAATTATTGTCACCAACCTCTTAGTTCGAGCAACACCAAAGTCTTAAGCTCAACCGACTGAGCTAACCAGGCAGACCAAAAAATCTAATAAATTCATAGTTGTCTCTGTGGCGCAATCGGTTAGCGCGTTCGGCTGTTAACTGAAAGGTTGGTGGTTCAAGCCCACCCAGGGACGATGTATGCTTTTGTCCATTGATCGAAAAGTTTTGAGTGAATTGAAATTGAAGAAAGTGATGAAAACATTATGCGCCCAACGTGGGGCTCGAACCCACAACCCTGAGATTAAGAGTCTCATGCTCTACCGACTGAGCTAGCTAGGCTGACATGCAACCTTTCAATTATTGTCACCTACCTCTCAGTTCGAGCAACTCCAGAGACTTATGCTCCACCGACTGAGCTAGCCAGGCAGACCAAAAAATTAAATAAATTCATAGTTGTCTCTGTGGCGCAATCGGTTAGCACGTTCGGCTGTTAACTGAAAGGTTGGTGGTTCAAGCCCACCCAGGGACGATCTATGCTTTTGTCCATTGATCGAAAAGTTTTGAGTGAATTGAAATTGTGGGGCTCGATACCACAACCCAAGAGTCTCATGCTCTACCGACTGAGCTAGCCAGGCTGATATGCAACCTTTTATTTATTGTCACCTACCTCTAAGTCGAGCAACTCCAGAGACTTATGCTCCACCGACTGAGCTTACCCACGACCCTGAGATTAACCTCTTAAGCCCTGAGGCCTATTTTCCGAAAATCCTATACTTTTACTTTTTAAGGCATTTCTCAGCTTTTACAAGGCCTAAACTGCAAATCTTGGTATCAAAATGAAGATAGGTTGGATGACAAAATAAATATAAAAATTCATAGTTGTCTCTGTGGCAAATCGATCAGCGCGTTCCGCTGTTAACTGAAAGGTTGGTGGTTCAAGACCACCCAGGGACGACCTATGCTTTTGTCCATTGATCGAAAAGTTTTGAGTGAATTGAAGTTGTAGAAAGTGATGAAAACATTATGTGCCCGACGTGGTGCTCAAACCCACGACCCTGAGATCAAGAGTCTCATGCTCTACCGACTGAGCTAGCCAGGCTGACATGCAACCTTTCAATTATTGTCACCTACTCTCAGTTCAAACAACACCAGAGTCTCATGCTCTACCGACTGAGCTAGCCAGGCTGACAAAATAAATAATTGAAATTGTAGAAAGTGATGAAAATATAATGCGCCCAAAGTGGGGCTCGAAACCACGACCCAAGAGTCTCATGCTCTACCGACTGAGCTAGCCAGGCTGACATGCAACCTTTCATTTATTGTCACCAACCTCTCAGTTCGAGCAACTCCAGAGACTTATGCTCCACCAACTGAGCTAACCAGGCAGACCAAAAAATCAAATAAATTCATAGTTGTCTCTGTGGCGCAATCGGTTAGCACGTTCGGCTGTTAACTGAAAGGTTGGTGGTTCAAGCCCACCCAGGGACGATCTATGCTTTTGTCCATTGATCGAAAAGTTTTGAGTGAATTGAAATTGTAGAAAGTAATGAAAATAATATGCGCCCAACGTGGGGCTCGAACCCACGACCCTGAGATTAAGAGTCTCATGCTCTACCGACTGAGCTAGCCAGGCTGACATGCAACCTTTCAATTATTGTCACCTAACTCTCAGTTCGAGCAACACCAGAGTCTTATGCTCCACCAACTGAGCTTATCAGGCAGACCAAAAAATTAAATAAATTCATAGTTGTCTCTGTGTCACATACAGTTAGCGCGTTCGGCTGTTAACTGAAAGGCTGGTGGTTCAAGCCCACCCAGGGATGATCTATGCTTTTCTCCATTGATCGAAAAGTTTTGAGTGAATTGAAATTGTAGAAAGTAAGGAAAACATTATGCGCCCAACGTGGGGCTCGAACCCACGACCCTGAGATTAAGAGTCTCATGCTCTACCGACTGAGCTAGCCAGGCTGACAAAGTAAATAAATAAATTCATAGTTGTCTCTGTGGAAAATCGATTAGCGCGTTCCGCTGTTTACTGAAAGGTTAGTGGTTCAAGCCCACCCAGGGACGATCTATGCTTTTCTCCATTGATCGAAAAGTTTTGAGTGAATTGAAATTGTAGAAAGTAATGAAAACATTATGCCCCTATCGTGGGGCTCGAACCCACAACCCTGAGATTAAGAGTCTCATGCTGTACCGACTGAGCTAGCCAGGCTGACATGCAACCTTTCATTTATTGTCACCTTCCTCTCAGTTCGAGCAACTCCAGAGACTTATGCTCCACCGACTGAGCTAACCAGGCAGACGAAAAAATTAAGTAAATTCATAGTTGTCTCTGTGGCGTAATCGGTTAGTGCGTTCGACTGTTGACTGAAAGGTTGG